GGGGGGGGGGGGGGGGGGGGGGAGACCATTGGGACTGGGAGTGGTAGTGTCCCCTTCAGAGGGGGAAGCTGGAATTCTGGGGAGTCCATTAGAAATTGAGAGATGCCCCTGAGAAAGCCCATTCACATGGGTGGGGAGAGGCAGGGTAGCTATACTGTACACTTACCTACGGTCTACAGCTGCTTCCTGCGCTGAGCCAGGTCTCAGCTCTGTGTCCTGCAGTAGGACATGGTGAACTGGAGTCTGTATTGTGCTACTGGGGGGACTGGACAATCAGCTTATCAAGTGCATACAGGACTCAATTCCAAGTTCTGTGCTATGGCTTGCAGATTCGCAAGACAATAAACCATTTTCTTAACTGTACGTGGGTAACAAGTGTGTTAGCATGTAATAACAGGTCACAGTTGAATCATGGTGACTAAGGGAAGAATTCAGTGCAAGCAGTATTGCAAAATTGCCATGAAAACTTGACAGAGCAGCAACAAAATCCACACACCCACCTTTGCCATGATGCTGCTGTTGATGGAAAAGCTAGTCATCATTTACTCGCTTGTCAAAATATTGCTTACCCTGCTAGAATCAGATCCTGCGAGGTTGAATCTGATCCATGTTATTTAAGGCTTTGTTCAAAGTTTATCACCACCTCGAGTCTGGTTCTTATGTTACCACCACCTGGAGACATACTGATTTATGTATATATTTTGATTTATAACAGTATCAACTGACATCTTTTTTACTGTGGATGCTTTTATAGAATGTTAGAATTCACCAGTATAATCCAATAAACTTGACCCTAACCTGCTGTGATTGTTAATTAGTGCAAAGTTTTCATTTGCCCTAGCTACAACAGATTTAACCTGTGTGTGTAGGGTTCTGCCCAAATTTGTTTTAAAGTGTGGTGTTCCCAGTGCAACCACGGTAAAAAGGTTGCATGATGCAGTATTGAGAAGATTCCCATTCAATTCTGAATCTGTTACATTTGAAAATGTTCTAATATGCAGATGTGGGTTTTGCCATTTATCAGACTTTTCCAGAACAGATGGGATTTTCAACAGCACATAAAAGCACAATCCCATTGACTTTTAATTAGTCATGTAAGCATTTTGAAAATACCAATGAATATTATTTCTTAGAGAGTTGAGCCATTTAATTGGTCACAAGAACAAAAAAATTACAAGTTAAACGGAACAAATATTAGGTAAACTCTTCCCATAGTATTTTTAATGTGACATGAGACTTATAATGTAAAATATGTTGAAAATGTATTGTTTTTTCTTGCAGACTGATCCAAGGCCCAGTGAAGTTAAAGGTCATTACATTGACTTCAGTGGATTTTGGATGAGGCCTATGATTCCTAAGTTTAAAAAGCCATTTTAATAGCACCTGAACTGTCAAAATAAACAGTGCAGTTGAAAGGAAAGTGTTGGTCACAAATATTCCACAAGATGGCAGCCTTACCTATGTAAAAAACACCATTTAAATTAAATCAGCGTTGCTGTGGGAACCAGGGGATGAAATAAGTAAAGACAATAAATCCTTCCCCAAGGTACCCAGGATTTTTTGCTATTTTATACATTGTAGATAAAGGGCATTTTGTGCGTGTGTGTGTGTACGTGTGCATGAAAAAGAGGAAACAACCTGTGGAAACAGCCTGATATTTTGCCCAAAATAATATTTATTTTCCCATGCTAATTGCAGTTATTATGGCCTCCAGATACACATACAATAAAAATGAGATCATGTGCTTGCAGTACAATTATCAGCTGAACTACTATCAAGGAATAAAAAAATACCTCCTCATCACGTCAAACAGACAGACAGGTAGGGCTAGTAAAATTCCTGATGAGTTAACAAACTTGAGTTCTGTCAATTCCAGATTTAAGGGCTGCTCCATTAAGAATGCTCCCATCTCAGAGTGCAAATCTAAGACTGTCTGGTGAGAGAGTATAAGGAGGGGTTCTGAGATACAAAGGTCCTAAGCCATGTAAGCAGGCATTTCTCCCAACCGATAAACATTAGGAGCACCCATTTTGATTACAGAACTGTTTTACACTTAACATGAAAACTTGATGATGCATATTTCTGCCTATGAGTTCAGTTTGCCAGCTGGCACTCACCATCCCTCCTATGGTCCCTTCAATAGCTCTGTGGATGACAGTTATAAGAGGCTTGCCAAATGGATGGTATGGTCAGCATCTGTGCTTTATGCTGTTCTTTCATTCTTCACTGATTCTAATGCATATCATTCAGGTGACAAGTTCTATCCATCCTTCCCACCAACATGTTGCCAGAAGCAAACTTGATTTTGATAGAAACCTCTATCCAGCACCACATTTTGCATCTGCTGTTATTTGCAGGCAAAATTGATACCATATAAAGTCTTTACAGTTTTGCAGGTGCGAAATTGGAGTATGCTTCCCAATATCTCTAGAAGTGGGAAAACTAACCTGTTTTTAGATATTCAGATTTCCTCCTTCTTCACAAGGGGCTTTGTTAGTGTTTAGTTCTTAACCATTGTTTTTCCTTCCTAAGTTTCTAGTATAGCATAGGTTTTCACTAACCTTTTTGCTAATGTATATGGGAGCAGTGCAAACTCCCATGTTTTGTGATCACTATTTCTCAGCCAAAAAAATTCAGTGAAGTAATTTCCATCTAACTATTTACCATTTGACAGTGTTTGTGGGGAAAGCCCACAGCTGAGATTACGGGATCTTTCTTCTGCAGGAATCATAGCGGTGTGGAGAGTCGTTTAGTACATGCATGCAAACTGCAGCCATCCTGGACTCCATGTAGCATGATGGCTGCATCCAGCTGGGAGACAGTTGCTCTGGTGAGCTCTTTCATCCTCTTTTAGTTGGAGGCTGCATTATCAACTCAGCTGAAGCTGCAGCGGAGCAGAGTGCTGTTTATAAGCATCAATGATGCAGCTGTGCTTAGGGTCTGAGGCTTAGGCTTGCAGCCACTTACATATATGCCATAGCGGGAATAGCAATAGCCACACTAGTTTTGAGCTTGGTCAGTGGTCTTGGTCTAATAGTTATTTCTATAGGAACAAATGTAAGAAAGTGTTTTATCAACCCATCCAACACAGGAAATTTATATCTGAATAGAATCATAGGACTAGAAGGAACCTCAAGAGGTCATCTAGTCCAGTCCCCTTCCCTCATGGCAAGACTAAGTATTCTCTAGACCAGTGGTTCTCAAACTGTGGGTCGGGACCCCATTTTAATAAGGTCACCAGGACTGGCTTAGACTTGCTCTGGCCTGGGACCAAAGCCTGAGGTCTTCAGCCCTAGGCATCAGGACTCAGGGACCCTGCCTGGGGCTGAAGCCCATGGGCTTCAGCTTTGACCCCACAACCAGGGGCTCAGGCTTCGCTCCTGGGGTTGTGTAGTAATTTTTATTGTCTGACGGGAGTCACAGTCCAATGAAGTTTGAGAACCCCTGATCTAGACCATCCCTGACAGGTGTTGGTCTAACCTGCTCTTAAAAATCTCCAGTGATGGGAGATTTCACTCCCTAGGCAATATTGTCTCATTTGTTCCCCTATTCTCTCTATCCATCTGCTATCTCTTTTCTTAGATTTAGATTGTAAAATCGTTGGGGGCAGAGACTGCATGTTTATATGGACCCTAGCATGATGGGGTCCTAGTCCATTACTAGGGCTCCTAAGCACTTCAGTAATACAAATAATAATGATAATGTTATACACCGATTCTGGAGAATCTCAGCTTTCATTTTTTTAAAGTAAGTTTCTAGCACACATGGTTGTGAAGAAAGCCTTCCATATTGGAACCAAGTGTAAACCAGTGCAGTGTTGTCAGTCTAAAACAATAGTTCTGAGAGGTGAGAACACACCTCTGCATGCGCGCGCACACACACACACCCCCTTTCTGGTTTATCTTCTTACAGCATGAACTAACGTCTTTTCTACATGCAAAAGTTGTACTATTTTAACTATACCAGCTAAAGCAGTACAAACTCCTAGTGTAGATGCGGTTACGTTTTATACTAGTATGGCATTCCCATATGGGAAGGGGAATGATCTATTCCAGTATGAGGCACCTTTATACCAATATAATTGCATCCACACTAGGGGGGCTACTGGTATAACTATATAAAAAAAAAAAATCACTCCCCTAACCAAAATAACTGCACTGCTACAAAATGGGTGTGTAGACAAGGCCTTCAGCCTAATAAAGACACTGATTCTCAGCCTTGCCTCTTTCAGTTTTATTCATGGAACAGGGGAAAGGGTGACTGTGAATCCAAAGGGGCAGGAATTAGGAGTTGCTGTGGGAAAGGAAAAGCAATGGGTATAAAAGAAAGACAACAATAGAAAAGAAAGAGAGGAAACAACAGAGAAAGAAGAGAAACAAAGGGCAGAACTAGCAGTTGGCCAAAGGGAGGTAAGGGTATATTTTCCCACTAAGTGATGC